CTCTCTGGAATGAAGTGTGAGATGATGCTCTGTAGGGTGCAGGCCTCCAGGTGGTCAACTGGGGTGCAGCACTAGACTGGATGGTGTTGGTTACATTAGGTTGTGTGGCTCTGGAGGAAACTGGAGGAGCTGGCTTGGCAGAGGCCATCAAAGATCTGCTGACAGGAGCTGGTTTGGTTGGCCTGAGTGTGGTAAGTTGAGCTGACTGGCAGTGAGGCTGCAGAGGGTAAGCTGCAGTGGGTCTTGGTAAAGCCAGGGAAAGAGCCTTTTTAGAAACAGCTCTGGCTTGAGGCTTCTCCTGGGTTGGAAAAGGCAGAGGTACTAACCTGACCTTCCCAGCTGGGGGCAGCTCATACTTGAATGGAGATAGACAGTATTTGTTGGCAGTGCTGTTTACTGTCTGAATCTTCCCAGGACTTTTTGGAGGACCCTGGTCCTCACATGGCATGTTTACCATTGCTGTAGTAACAGAGGCTAGGCCTGCATCTTTGTTGCTGGTGAAGGTCCACAGACCCCCAAAGGAGGAAATGCCAGTTTTCTTTTCATTCCTCTTTCCCAGTGGGTGAAAGACCTGCACAGACTCCAGCATGTGCATGCCAAGGTTGGTTCGCGGCTTCTTGAAGCTGTTTTGACTGAACTCAGGTGGATTCCTCTTCCTCTTGGTCTTGGATATGGTGGGCTTCTCTTCTCCTTTGACTCTGTTCCTTGACTGCTTAAGCTCCTCTGTTTTCTTAGAGTTTTTCTCTGGTCGACTTGGTCTTTCCTGCCCCTGTTTTCTAACTCTTCTGTTCTTGCTGGGGGTAACCTTGGGAGCTTTGCCCTTCTGATTCTTTGCCGTGTTTTCAATACTGTCACTGGACCCAGGCACATACACATTCCCCTCTCCCAACACCAGGTCTTGGTGCTGGATTTTGGCCTGAGGAGCTTCCTCAAGCAGCTCAGATGACTTATGTTTATTCTTCCTCACCTGGCCAGGGGCCTCACTGATGATGTTCCAGTTTTCACAGGACTGATCCTGGTCTATGTCTGTGAGGGTGTTGAGGAGTTGGGGAAGTTGAATGTCTGCCTCAAGTGTAGTGATGTCTTTAAAGTCAAAGCTGGAACCTGTCTCATTCTGGAGGCCCCCAAGCTCTTTTGGACACATGCTGATGTCTCCCACATGCATATCGTCAGAAGCAGACTTCTGCCTTAGGCTCTCAGTATCAGTGCAGTACAGATGCTGCTGAAAGTCAGGGTGTGCTAAAGTCACGATTGGTGTGTCTTGGTTTTCTTTTGTGCCCTCATAGGCATCCAGACTCTTTAAAAATTCATCTTTGATCTCTTTCATGGTTTTGTTCTTAGTTTCTTCCTGGTTTGGAGCTGGAGGCAAGGCTAGGAATTCTGAAGGACTGTGGATAGTGGCTGTTAATGCCCTGTCCCCATTGACAGCTGGTGGTCTTTTCTGGGAAGCCTGGCCAGAGGTTTTGAAGAGTTCAGGACTCTGCAGCTGACAGTATGTATGACCTGAAGGTGGCAATCGCAGGGATGTCTCCATTTGAACTACTGGAAAAGAGTGAAGGGACAAATGAGTGCCAGTGGTAAAAAAATGCTCCCCACCTCCACCCATATTTCATAGGACTACAGCATTGGGCCCTAGCAACAGTGGGAGGGCATTCCT